CCACTTCCTGCAAAACTCAATCCCACGCGCGCCAAATCCACGCGCAACTCATCCTCCACAACCTCCGCTCCGACGCCGCCGTCGCCCACAACTTCATCGCCGCCTGCACCTCCTTAAACCTCCTCAACTCCGCCGCCTTACCCCTCTACACCAACACCCGCTCCACCTTCATCTGCAACACCCTAATCAGAGCCTATTCTCACTCCACCGACCCCGAGAAATCCCCATTAATATACGCCCGCATGCACAGGAACTCAACCCCAGCGAACCACTACACTTTCCCCTTCGTGCTCAAGGCGCTGGCGGATTTCAAGCTGATGAAAGAGGGAAAATCGGTGCACGCTCAGGTAATCAAATTGGGTTTTCTGAACGATGTTTATGTTGGGAACTCGTTGCTGAATCTGTATGCTGCCGGTGGGGATATGTGTTTGTGCGGGAAAATGTTTGGTGAAATGCCCCTGAGAGACGTGGTCTCGTGGACGGTTATGATCTCGGGTTTTAACGAAGCTGGTAAATACGATGACTCGTTGATCACGTTCGAGAAGATGAGAAGCCATGGCGTGATGCCCAATCGGGTAACGGCCGTGAATGCCTTAGCTGCCTGTGCGGGCCGTGGGGCTCTGGATATGGGCATTTGGGTTCACGAGTACGTGAAAAGTAGCCGTTGGGAGATGGACTTAATCTTAGGCACTGCATTAATCGACATGTATGGAAAATGTGGGCAGATAGAAAACGGGCTGCTCGTTTTTCACCAAATGGCCAAAAAAAACGTGTGCACTTGGAACACGGTTATTAAAGGGCTAGCTCTATCCAAGAATGGGAAAGAAGCTATGAAGTATTTTCTCATGATGGAGAATGAAAAGGCCCGGCCCGATGAGGTGACTCTAATTGCAGTTCTCAGCGCGTGCGTGCACTCGGGCCTCGTGCACATGGGCCAGCTAGTTTTTTCTGCATTGGCTGACGGGAAGTACGGGTTTTCGCCTAACGTGAAGCATTATAGCTGCATGGTGGATCTTTTGGCGCGCTGCGGGTGTTTGGATGAGGCTGTTGGGTTGATTAAAGAGATGCCATTTGAGCCGAGTGTGAGTATTTGGGGTGCTTTGCTTGCGGGGTGTAGAGCTTTGGGGGAGTTTGATTTGGGTGAATTTGCGGCTTTAAAGATGGTGGAGTTGGAGCCTGGGAATTTCAGTTATTATGTTGCGCTATGTGATTTGTATGTGGAAAATGGAAAATGGGATGATGTAAAGAGGGTTCGGAAGTTGATGAAAGGGATGGGGCTCGAAAAGGATATAGGCAGCAGCAGCAGCAGCCTCACGGTCGAGCTTAAGAATTCGCTTTAAGTACAATCAAGCTTGAGAATTCGAAAGGTTCCTCCTATAAGTTGGTTAGCTTGAAGTTTGCAATTGAAAGTTGGAACACAATGCTTAGTTTGTGACTGTGAATTCATTTAGTTTGTGTGGCTTTTGTGTGTGTGTGTGTGTAGCTGCAACCAGAAATGGGAAGTATGAAAAGTATGATGATTTATACATCTTTGTACCATTGTAAGAATGAGAGTGGAAGCTCTACTTCAAGTGACAATAAATATATAAGAATAAGATACGAAAATAATACAAAAATACAAAAACGAGCAAAAACAATAGACACTGCTGGTATTCTTGTCGTATATATAGATTCTTAATTAATCTTATTTTTTTCATACATTAATTGCTATAAATTTATTTTTTTCAATTTAATAATTTTTGTATTCCTACCTATATATGTAGGAAAACTCCATATGACATATAAGAAGACCTTACAAATTACAATAGCATCTCATTCAATATTCCAATAATCTTATTCTTATATTCCAATTTGTCCTCTTATCATTTATAGAGTATACTGTGTATTTTTCCTGGATATAATTTGATTCGTTTTAACACTCTAAAATGCTTGTACACAAGTAGCTCGCCAGCATCTTCAAAGGGCACAGCTCACAACAAAAGGGGACTGATTCTAAAGCAAACATCACCTATCTTATCTGGAATCTGATAAGTTATGGTGCCTAAGGTAGGAAATCA